AAAAAAAAAAAAAAGCTTCTAGAAAAAGATTAAACCAATATAATACAGGAAAATGCATAAAAGAATATTATGCTAAAACTGTAGCAGTAATGGAGAAAAAGTTACATCATCTGTAGAACCAAAAACATACTATCAAAATGTGTCTGATGTAACTAACAACATGAAGTGTAGGAAAATAGTAAAGCATAAGTCATAGAATGGTGTTGGACAAGTAAAGGAGAAATATGGAAAGTTGGGAGAAGTATGTGAATAAACTACTGAGATAAAATGTCACAATATTGAGGACTAAGACAAAAAAGAAACTAAACAGATATGTCAAACAAATTATGCGTAGGTTCTTTGCTTACTGGGTTTTATGAGATGAAGTGCTGATGTTGTACAATAAGAAGAGAATGATCCATTTTCTAATCATATTAATGCAAGCTAAAAATAGAGACTTCTATATTTGTCTAACCTTGACATACAGCACAGTATTTCTAATCTTGATATATGGAGTTGAATTTTTCTAATGTTCAAGGCATAAAAAATGGCAAAATTAATGGTCGATCAATTARCAAAAAAAAAACTGTAGGCAAAGTGGCTGAGTGTCATATTTCAACAACCATAAAGACAAAGGCTTGTTAGATCACAAGAGCTGGAAAAAACAAGCATGTGCTTTGTTTTCTTCTCCACAGCTGCTTTAGTACGTGATTWCAATTACGTCAAAGTGACGTGAGAGCTTATCCTTCCTCCCACATTTCTCTCTTCTTCCTTGTGCCTAAAACAACTAAAAGGGGACAGGGTCTATGCTGAAGCTGACTGTGAAATCAGTCAATGAATATCAATAGTGGCACGAAAGAAAACCCTGCAGTTACCAGAAGCAGGCACATTCTGACTGACAGCAGCTTGGATCAGCAAGAGCCAATTGTGAAATTACACCATGGCTGTATGGTGTTAGGCAAATCCCTTTGCTCACGAATTAAATAAGAAAATAAAATATTAGGTTAGGTGGGATTAGGGGTAGGTCACCAGTGTACCAATAAATGTGGATTTAACACGGTAAGTGTGCTAATCAACCTTCTTTCCAGCTAAATATAGGAATTCTTGAGCTTCTTTGTAGAAAGATTTAAATGGAAGCAATGGAAACTACATCCAAGGCAACAAACTGCAAGTCCCAATAGAATATAGTTATGTGGTCAGATGGTCATTCCTCAAGACTGCCTGCAAATGCAGAACCTTTAAGAGGATTTCTTAATTGAGTTATATGTGCATTAYAGTAAGAAGAAAGCTTCTGGAAGAGGAAAAACATCCCACACATGGCTCTGAGAGAGCAGAGCACACATACTGCCACAGTACTCTGTACAAGCTGGAAAGGCAGACTGGATTTCAAAGCAAGAAAGTGCAGCTTGATCCTACTGTTTCCAGGAAGTCAAGATTGTTGACAGTTTATTTATGATWGTCTTCATAAATAAGGAAGATGTAATAAAAAAAAAATCCATTTCTGAATTGTCAGTTTCCCCTCCAATAGAAACAACCCATCAATACTTTAAGTAAGGCTTTATAATTATGCCTTCACAAGATGAGTTTGAGCTTCCAAGACATTTTGAGAATATTAAATGTTTGAAATTACTATTTCATAGAAGTGAAAATGTGTTTTTTTTAAATTCATCATTTTACCTAATAACCCAGGAAAAAAATTCCAAATCTTAAAGATACAACAGCTAAGTAATTTYGACTTCTATGTGTCTACTGCTATTATTAAGGGTGAAAATTTAATAAATAAAACACAAATGGAATCTATTAAGTATCTTGATACACCACAAAAATTTATAATGCTGTAGGTTCATAAATCCATGAATATCCTGGCCAAAAGCTGATATCTTAATAGATGTTGTAAATATAACAATTTCAGTCAGAATTCTCAATACATCTGGCTTAGTAATTTAGAATATTAACATTGATTGCTTGGTGATGCTTGATAGCAGGCTTGCTGATGTGAGCAGAGATTAGCTTTAAAAGCAATACTCACAGTGAAGACTTTCTCAGGCTGACCACGAGCACGCATGTTTGTGTCATGAATTTGCTTGAGTATCATCCAAGCTTCATCATGTTTTCCGACCTAAATGTTAAAACAAAACATTTAAGTGTAACATACATACAAATTGAGTTACTTGCTATAGTCCCTGAACAATCTAAACTCCTGTTTGGTAGAGGTCATGATATAAAACAGAAATAATTTTGACTAGACTCTAGAAGTTGTTTGGAAAGTTATACCTCCAGCAGGAACCGTGGGCTTTCCGGCATAAAGGTGAGGGCAACCACAGAAGAGACACAGGGCAATGCACAGACAATCACAAATACTCGCCAGCTGTGGAACTGGTAGGCAGAGCCCATGCTGAAACTCCATCCTGTGGAAGCAGAAATTCATAAAATGTAGACAAATAATTAAGTATTATATGTGTTATCCTACACATGCTGCTKCTTGGGGATCCAAGACGATACCAGTATTTAAATGAGGTCTGGTTGATATATTTCCACAAATATTGATAGTGTAAAAATAATTTTACACWATGAATTGTAGCCTCTTGCATGTGACTAGTCATGTGGGGAAATGACCGTACTATGTATGAAAGACATTCTTATGCAGGGATGAAKAAGCTTCTTTCAATTCTCTTGGCAAAATCTGTATTAAGGCAGATATGTGAACCAAACAGGAACATCATCACCATGCATAAGAATATGTATACAAAGAAAATGTTTTCTATGAACCATAGAAGTAGAGAGACTTAAAAAACCTACACTCAAATTATCTATTTTATGGAATTACATAGCTTTCTTTAATAATGACTTTTTCTACAAAGCTGATTTCAATACTCTTAATAAGAACCACCTATGTGAAACTGGAGGGCTGGTAATTCAGCTTTTTAATAAAATATCTGTGTGGTTGGTGTATTATGACTAGACTACTGGAATGCTACAATTGTAAGAAAACTAAGAATGTATCTTAAGAAATAGAAGTATTATTTGGATAAGTAGCTGGCCTTTTATTCTGGCTTCAGTACAATAGAAATTTGCAAGTAAAATTTTCAAGGCTAACTTATTAAAAGGTGCGGAAGATGAGCATAATCGTAAAGAAAAGCTCAGGTTATTCGAAGAAAATGAAATCTTGGCTACTGATAGAACTGATGTACTGRATGAATCTGATATATTATTTGCTAATTGATTTTTCTAGACAAAAGACAGAGTGAAGTAAATCTGCCTGAATGTCAGCAAACAACTTGTAGGACACGGTACCAAATGGCCTACTAAATAGCTCTTCAAAGGAGATATTTACCTGAGAAATGTAAAGTGCACTTTGGAATTTAAAAATTCTATGCTGTGGATCATGAATACACTATTGGGAAAAAAAAAAAATGTCTTTCCCATAATAAAGTGCTTACATACTACCACATGAAAAATACTGGCAACCCATGATTTATTTTCATTCTTTAGTGAAACACTTTGATCAGCAGACATAGGAATGTGTTTATTTCTGATCTCCTATGAATTTCCTGTGTTTCTTAGATTATATCAGTTTGCTCTATGGCCTTCTTTAGCACTGCCATCTTTATCCTCCTTCACCAGGGAGAAAGGGGTAAAATCAATAACAGTGTTGGCAATGATCTTGGAATCCCACATTACTGCTTTTCAAGTAAGACTCCATATGGACTAATTTTACCACTCCAAATCTCCCTCCAACAGAACAAGGACATGAAAAAATAATGTTAAATTTTATTCCAAAATAGATCTTGGATTAAAACTTGAGAATAACCATGAAAGTACATTAAAATTAACTTTTTAACTGATTTTTGGAMAATTTTAACATTTAATATTATGGAATTTCAAGTCTTAAATAATATGGGTGTGTTTTACATCTAACTGTGAAGGGAACGAAATAAAGAAGGAAAGATTTACAGTGTGTTAATGAGGCAATTAGAACACCCCTGTGTTTAGGATATTGTGTACACATTTTGTTCTAATCATTAGAATCACAGTCTTCATTAATAACATAATTTAAAATACAGTACAAAATCATCTGATGCAGAATTCGCAAAATTTTTTTTTTGGTGAAGTTAATCTTTGGTCAGATCGGTGAGTTTATCAGATTCTCTGGGCAGCTGTGCAACTGCTAGTGTTGCAGGGAAGGCAGCACAGGATGGGAGTTTCCATCTTTCAAAATGTTCAGTATCAGTCAAGGTACTGGCTTTTGTTGTTATTAGAAACTGTTCCAGAAATATATATATACACATATACATAACATTAATAACTGGTATAGTTAAGCAATCTGCATTTCCCTGCTCTAGTTTATGTTTTATGAGATTGAGCTGCACAAAGGGCAGTTCTGCAGTAAATGAAATTGATGTGGCTTTATGCCTGTTATAAAGCAACAGCAACATCTTGTGCTCTGTAGCCAGTTCTGGAAAATGCTGTGGGTAATTTATTTTTAGTTGTCATTTATTAATATAAGTGAACCATACTACATTTAATTAAAAGCAATAAATGCACTGTTCATCCTGCTGTCATTGTGACAACCTACAAAACATCTTTTTTACTCTTCAAAATACCTGAGGGACATGTCAAGTTCATTATAGTTTTTATTGCTTTTATTCCATCTTTTCCTCTATGTACTGTATTAGCTGCTGCAATTTATCTTGTGATTTAATGTATCTGCTGAATTACTGATAAAGGGGAATGTCAGGATTACAAAAAGAAATTTGTAGAAAAGAAACTCCAAGCTGCAACAGAGCTTTGTGGAGGTTGTTCCCCCCATCTATTCCCACCAGCACTAGATCAGCAAAACAAACATATATTTCAAATGCACAGCAAGTTTGGATTTATTTTTTTATTTAACACATCCTTTTTCCCCAGGTCATGAGCTAATCTGGAAAATGGAACCATTAGAGCAGCTCTGAATTTAGCTCACAAAGTGGCTTTCATTCCTTTTGTACATAAGTCTTGAAACTAAATGAAAGTGTGTTCTTGGCTGTAACTCAATCTGCTTCCCCCTTCCCTGATTTATGGCACAATAGCAAAGGCATAGCCGCTCTACGTGGCTGCTTTCAGTGCACTGTTCAGCAGCCTGGAGCCGACCTTCACCCTTGCTCCCTGGCTATGCTGTATTCAAGAGTAATTAATCTTGAGAAGGGGAGCAAGTCCCAATGTTTTATGAATTGCAAAACATTTGGCCCAACTGCATCTTGGGAATAATGTACTGTAGAGCAAACCAAAACCTGTTATAGCTGAAATGGAAGCTGCTGCAGGAGCCTTTGTGCTAAATACCACTGTCCTGCTTCCCTGGCTGCTGGAAAAAGCCAAGTGAGTCACAGACAGGACAATTACTGATTACAGAAACACAGGAGCACACAGTGGAGCAAAATCAAAATGTACATGATGCTAATCTATATCCAATCACCAATTTAGTTGAACTCAATGTCAACAAAATGTTCTCTCACAAAACAGCATATCATCAGCTCCATATTAATATATCAAAAGGAAGTTATAAAATTCTTGCTCCAAAGGAGTGAACATTTGTCATAGACTTTCTGAATATATATAGAGGAAAATCTGTTCACATTAAGATGAATTTTATAAGTGTATAATACCTAATAAATAGTAAGKATCTTCAAGCACAAGGATCCTCTTYTAGAGTAGATACATTTCTAGAGAGCAGATTTACAGGGATGATTTGCTTAACTTTCCACAATAAAAACTGCAAGAAATGTGACAGATCTCTATACATTCATACACGTCACACTAAAGTGCAATGTGGGCAATAAAAACTATGGGTGCCCACAGGCTGGCAAGGAAACAGTTTATATATAGCAAAGGAATAAACTTGTGAACACCTCCTAAGACACTAAAGTTGACAAAGAAAATCCAATCAAATATTATGATTTTATCKCATGGTTAGCTAAAGACTGAGCATTTTGACTATTTTTGTTAGTCATTCAGGATGAATAAGAGAAACAAGTTTCATGGCAGTGCCACTAATTGCCAAACCCCAAATTTTCATAGATTTCTGTCTTTTAGTAGATCAAAGGAGGGAGTAGATGCAGGAATATGCTTAAAAATTAAGGCTGGGGGAGACAGGGAGCCAAGTAACTTAGAGTGATTCACAGACGTCATAGATTTTTCCACAGAATACTTTATGTGATTTTATARCTTTTCTTATTTCTGTTTTACCACACAACCTTTGGTCAGAGGTCAACCTTCTAGCCTTCATTCTCAATGTTTTTGTTTGAAATACTTCCAGTAACTAAGGTGCATGATTGCTGTAAATTGTCACTTGGTGGCACTGTTACCTCACTCAATAGAAATAAAGCTCAAGACTTGGAACAATTTTACTATCAAATGTTGTTGTTTTGTTGAGTACTTCCCAAATCTAAGCTAAAACACAATTATAAGAATGACTGGACATATTTTGAAGCTTGCATCACTTAAACACCTTATTATTGTACTTATAGTTTTTCTGTCCTGGCATTACCAAGTTTAATTGTAATTAGAGTGTAATCTGGGATTTGAGCCCATGTATTGTAGTGCTGCTTATTAGAATAATAGTGAAACATCACTGAAACTGAAAAAAGAAAAGTTCAGGTAAGTTATGTAACTGAGAAAGCTCTGTTAGACATTTTTACAAAACTAGATGAAAAAATATTATTTTAGAGAACTGCAGAAATAACATTTTCAGAATGCTTCTGTATTATGGTSAAATTCCAGTAGCACAAAGTAGAACACTTTTCTGTGATTAAATTATTAATATCACATGGGGAAAGCAATGTTATTTTTAGCCTGTATAGATAGTTAGATATCTACAAACTTTGTCTCAGCAGGTCAGCTGCTGGTAATTTGTGCAGAAGGAATTCGGAAATGAAATGGCTGAAGGGTAGCAGGCAATGATGAAGGCAATTTAACAAAGATGCAAGGCTCTCTAGCTGAATGCAACTAGACCTTGAGGATCACCAGTTCAATGGAAGAGGAAAGTTATTGTGTTCAACAGATGTATTTTGCAAACACATTAGACTCAGAGCTGGTCTGCTGACACTTAAAACTGTTATGAAAAGGAACAAACCATTTTCTAAGGACACATTTCCTCTGTCATGGAGGAGTGGGTTTGTAACCACAGACACATGCCACTCCTCTGTGCTGGCATTGATATTTATCTGAGTATCTTAGATAATCAGGTCTCCAATCACTCCAGTGGCAGTATTTTCTATTCAGACAGTCTCAGGACAGCTGCAAGAAGAATTGATCTTGCATAGAAAATAATTTGCTCTCAAATAACATCGAATGTCTTCCTGCACAGCACTGCAGTCCAGGTGTAGTACCTCTGAAAAGTGACATCAAYGGCCCACTTTTTAAATTTCTCTAA